TTGATTTCAGAGAGGAAGGGAGAGGGAGAGACAGAAACATCAATGATGAGAGAGAATCATTGCTTGGCTGCCTCATGCATGCCCCCCACTGGAGATCGACCCCACAACCCAGCATGTGCCCTGACTGGGAATCGAACCGTGATCTCCTGGTTCATAGGTCTACACTCAACCACTGAGCCACCGCAGCCGGATGCCACAGCATGTTTGACGAAAACATTTTCGATGCATAACTAAATGGCTGTAAGGCAATTTTGCTGTTAAAAAAAAAGATTAAAAAACTGGTTGACAGTTTGGGTTTTTGTGGTGCTTTGTGGTTTTTTTTTTTTTTTTTTTTTTTTTGTCAGTTTGGTTTCATTGCTCCATTGACAAAAAAGTGGAGAAAATAAATAGTGGTGGTCTTAAAATAGTTAGCATTTTTTTCCGGGTGGTGATGATTTTTGCCCCAAGAGGTAGTTGGTTGCTTATCTTGAAACACTGAACTGGGAAGAGAAAGAGAGGCACCAAGGGCCTCTGAGAGCTCAGGGTTGAACCCACATTTCCCGTAGAACAAGGACAAGACCTTATGTACAATCTACAAAACAGTATCAGCTATTTGCGCAGTGTTGCTGTGAATCCATGAACATTTGTAACAAACTCAAATATTCTGTATTTTGCAATGAAGTCTTTCTAATTTGGTTATTCAGTTTTAATATACCTCTTTTATTTGTCATAATTTTATCTTTTAAAAAAATATATTTTATTGATTTTTCACAGAGAGGAAGGGAGAGGGATAGAGAGTTAGAAACATCGATGAGAGAGGAACATCGATCAGCTGCCTCCTGCACACCTCCTACTGGGAATGTGCCCACAACCAAGGTACATGCCCTTTCAGTCCACAGAGCCAAACCGGTTAGGGCGTAATAATTTTACCTTTTTTTTTATGATAAAATTGCCTACGGCCAATTAGTTATGGGGGGAAAAAATGGTTGCAGCAAAGATGCTAGGGCAAAACTACCCAGGCATTCCAAAATGAGGCTCTCTGCACACCCAGCTCAGCCTAGAGGCCTCCAAGGAGGAAGGACAATGATGACGACAGCAGCTGGCAGTTTTGACACGAGGCCTTTGCTTATGGCTGTGCAGGCTGTGCTACGGCCAACAGTATCACCTCCAAGCGGGTGCTGCTGACATGAGAGACAGGATAGGTCTGCACAGTCAGCAGAATAACTTCCCCGCAGCTAGCAGGAGCGTGTCCCGCTCTCATAAAGTCAGCGTATCATGGCACCGTTTGGACAGAGAGCAGTCAAGCTCTTTTTCTTTCCTTTTTGTACATAAGGACTTACTTTATTGCTGTTGTTACCATTTTCCTCCCTAGATCAGACAAATTATTTCTTTTTCATCATTTAAATTTTATTTTTCAATTATAGCTTACATTCAGTATTATTTTGTATTTGTTTTAGGTATACAGCATAGCGCTTAGACATAAGCCTATATTTCACTGTTCCCCCCCCCCAATATGTCTAGCACCCACCCCTGGCCCCATATATAGTATTACATTATTATTGACTATATTTCCTATGCTGTACTTTATATTCCTGTGACTATTTTGTAATTACTAATTTGTTGTTGTTGTTTTTTAAATTGAATTTATTGGGGGTAACATTGGTTAATAAAATTATACAGGTTTCAGGGGAAGGTAGCCTTTTTCTAACTCACCCCAAGGTGCCCTAGTGGGCTGGCAGTGGCCTTGACTGTGCCCTTCCCAGTGAGTCCTTCCCTTTACATTCCTATCTCATTCGACCCCCTGTGAGGGGCTACCGTGACCCAGGGCCTGAGCTTGGCCAGCGTTCTTGGTGGAGGGGTTTTGCGATGCTTAACATCCTCCCCATGGAGATCAGATGTGTTTCGGGCCTACAGTTTTATGGATGACCCTCCATATCTCCATCAACATTTTCCTAGCCACACTCCTGTGCTGAGCAAGGCCTGCCTCCACGGTGGGCGCTGGAGTCCTGGCAAGCCTCCCAGTGTGCTGTGCCATCGCCCTGTGTCCTTTTCTGTCCCACAGAGAGGAGGTGAGGAATGTGCTGGGAGAGTAGCTGCTCCTGGGATCACCTCCTCCTGCTCTGGATGGCTTCCCGAGCCTGTGACTAAGAAGAGCCCTTTTTCTTCTGCTCTGTCTGGAACAGCTGGAGGAAGACAGCTGTTCATAAATTTAATCTCTCTCAACCTCAGTTTTCTAATCTGAAAATGGAGTTTAAAATGTCCATCTCACAGAGTTCTTATTTGTAATGAAAGAGAAAGAGTTTCTAATGGGCTGGTATAGTGTGTGCTTGCTCAGTCAGGGTTAGTGTCCCTTCTCTGTCTCCCAGCAACATCGATTTCCCCTTCCCTTTTCATACCTGTTGAGCAAACCCAGCTGGCCATACTGGGCCTCATTTCTGGAGTGCTCCCCTCTCTCCAGAGTTCCCTCCAGCACCAGGTGAACCTCCCTCACCTTTCAGGGTTTCATCAAGGAGCATCTGGTGTAAAATCTCCTCATACACGTTCTCAACATGGATCATGTTGGTGTGATCAGCAAAGATGAACTGCTCATATTTCTGAAGTTCCTGGAGAGCAAGAGACAGAGGGCAAGGCATGAGATGCAGATATGAAAAGGATGAGTCCCACCGTGGCTGGTGTTGCTCAGTGTTTAGATCGTCGGCCTACTCACTAAAGTGTTTTGGGTTTGATTCCCAGTCAAGGGCACGTATCTGGGTTACAGGCTCACTCCCAGGCCCTGGTCAGGGTGCAGGAGGCAACCAATCAATGTGCCTCTTTCATAACCATGTCTCTCCCCCTCCCCCTTCCATTCTCTCTAAGAATCAATGGAAAAAATATCTTAGCGTGAGGATTAACAAAACAAAAAAAGAAAATGAGTCCCACTCCTGACCCCCTGTGGCACCACTCCTTATGCTGGATGGACACAGGGGATAGACCCGGAGATTTGATCATCTCAAGGGGGTGTCACTGAGTCCGGGGCCCTCCTTTTTTCCATAACCAAAGTATTTTCTTCTTCCTTTTAAAAAAAATATACCAACAGTACTTTCCAAGGTATATGCCACACACAATACAATGCAAATATTTTAAAAGTACAGCTTAGTCCTACCCGGTTTGGCTCAATGGATAGAGCATCAGCCTGCAGACTGAAGGGTCCTGGGTTCGATTCCGATCAAACCCAGGTTGTGGACTCGATCCCCAGTAGAGGGCGTGCAGGAGGCAGCCAATCAATGATTCTCTCTCATCACTGATGTTTCTATCTTTCTCTCCCTCTCCCTTACTCTCTGAAATCAATAAAAACTATTTTTTTTTAAAAAATGTACAGCTCAATGATTTTAAACACATAAATAAACCCATGAAACCAGAAGCCAAACCAAGACAGAGGAGATCATTCCCTTGCCCTTTCCTAGTCTAATCCTCCGGAGATAAGCACTGATCTGATGTCTGTCACAAGAGCCCAGTCCTTCTTGTTCTTGAACTTTATGTGAGTGGAATTGTCCATTCCTTTGGGCTTGTTTCTGAGATGCTTCTCATGTTGCCGCGTGTATCCACAGCTTGTTCTCTTTTATTGATAGGACATTCATCATATGAATAAACTAAGATTGCTTATCCATACTACTGTTGATGGATACTGAGATCTTTCTCCCGTTTTTTTTGACTGTGCGGACTGTGAATGCTATGAACCTTCTTGTGCATGATTTTTGTAGATTTAAGGACCTACTCATATTGGAAGTGAGACTGCTGGGTCCTGGAGTAGATGTGTGTTTAACTTCATTAGAATGGGGCCCCTTTTCAGGTCGTTGGGATCTCAAGTCAAGGGCTCCTCTTTCTCTCCCTGGCCTGACACTCACCTATTCCCATAAGACAACCCAGGCAGGACGCTAAGTCCTTGAACCCTTCTGCTTCCCAAGAGTCTCCAAATGGCCTGCCTGTTACCAGCTTGAGGACGGAGCAGGGATCGAAGAGCACCAATTGCATCCCAGTGTTTAACTCAGGTCCTTGAACCCAGTGGTGCTGGAAAAGGGCTCCCGACATGTGGCTTGGAGAGCCGGGGACTTAGAGTGGGATTTGGCCTCTTTTGCCTGAAGGGGCAGGATTTATAGCAGGTGGTCAGGAGTCACCACATTCAGACAACTCTCGGTGCTAGGACTTGGGGATCTGGGGTAACCCAGGACCAGCTCATAGCGGGTTCTCACGGGGTCCCTTTATATGTACCCTAGAGGAAAGACAAGGGATTGAGAGACAGGAGCTTCCATGACTCAGAGAGGGTCCGAGAGACACACAGACAAGGATGTATAGTAGGAGCACTACCCAGGAGCCCGGACGCTGCCCTGGACTGGCTGTGGGACCCTGTACAAGCATCGTCACCGCTCTGCACCCCTCTCTTCCTCTGAGAAATGAGGGGTCTGGGCTCATGTCTGCCGCACCCTTCCATGTCCCCACGTGGTCTCCCACTCCTCGTTCCCCTGTTGTCACTCATCCCTCGGGCCTGGACAAAAGCAGGACTCTGCAGCCCTCCTTGACGCTACAAGCGAAGTAGGGCAATCTCTTTGGAACTCAGCCATGAGGAACTCTTCCTATGAGGCGACTGCTGTGCCCGTCACACAGCATACCATGTGCCTGCCTCCTGCCTCTAGGCTGTGAACCCCAACAAGCAGGGGCGCTGGCCTGGCCCAGTGCCCAGATCATATCTGATACATATTTAACACATGTTTGCTGAATAAACAGGAGACCTTTAAAATTTCAGCCAGCTACATAATGCTGTGGAAAGGAATAATTTCTAGGGACATTTATACTGTCATGACAATCTGCCATGACTTGTCCAGCTTTACAAAACAGGGACTAGATCTACCATATTAAATAGATTGAACAGTGACATATGTTTAATTCCCTGGATCAATTAAATTGAATCCCTGCAGGTGGGACTTGGGGATCCATAACTTTTTTAAAGTTTCCCAGGACATCCCAACATGTGTCTTGATTTTAGTACCACAGATCTGGGAAGCTTCGACTTTAAGAGCCAAAGGAAATAAGATAAAGAATTCTCCTCTGAAGCTATACCCCCTGATGTATCTGTTCTGCAAATCCAGATTTTTAAAAATCTCTCGACACCAATACCCCATCCTTCATTATGGAAAACCTTGGGTGACAGGTCCTTTGGAAACCAGTCTCTCTTGATTGAAAAATCATAAGAGCCTGTTACAAATTGGGTACCACTGGGCTGGCGTTTGGAAAGAGGGGGGCAGATGGAAGGGAGGCTTGCCTTGCCCTTCACCTTTCACCTTTTCTGGAGGCTCTGAGGCCCCCAGACGGTCTTTGGGACTAGAAAAGGAAAACACGCTCACCAGGAAGTCTGTGTGCAGACACGTCCACGGGCAGGCTGAGTCACCCTGGGGCGGCTGCACTTTCCACCCCCGTGGGCCACAGGACAGCCATACAGACAGATTCTTTACCCCTCAGCACATCCCTTTCTATGAAAGAAATACACCCCCACAAAGAAATGCCAGGAACTAGATATGCCGATGACACTTGGAAGAAAAACAGCATGTAGAGAATATAAAAATGACTGAAGAAATTGCTTCAGTCAAATAACTCATGGGAAGGAGTCTAATGCTCCAATGCTGGGAGACTCTCTAAGCTGCCAAAAGGCCCTTTTTAAATTCGAAACGCTCTTTGTCATTTGCTCCAAGAGGCAGCAGGCCTTGAAAATGTCCAGGCTCGTAGATCATTTCTGAAACGGCCACGTAGTGATAGCAGTGTTTGCCTTTTTCCCAGAGTATCACATGCTACCAGGGAGTGGGAGCTGGGTGCAGACTCTGCTGGTGACCAGCTCTGTGATTTGGGGCCCTCTGCTTAACCCTCAGGTCTCCTCATTGCTACAACCAGCATATAAATGGCACCTCCTCGTAGGGCTGTCCTGAGAATCACCGAGCTAGTCCATGCAAAGTGCTTAACACCGTGCCTTGCACGTGGTAAGCACTCATCAAATGTTAATTGCCTCATGCTAGTCTTCTCAATCTTTTTTAAAATGTATTTTTATTTTTTAAAAAATGTATTTTCACTGATTTCAGCGAGGAAGGGAGAGAGATAGAAACATCAATGATGGGAGAGAATCATCAACCGACTGCCTCCTTCATGCTCCTCACTGGAGATTGAGCCTGTAAATCTGGGCATGTGCCCTGACAGGGAATAGAACCTATGAGTCCTCTGGCTCATAGGCTGATGCTCAACCATTGAGCCAAACTGGCCGGGCAAGTCTTCTCAATCTTAAGACGACTACCACAAGATATTGCTCGCTCCATTTTTTACAAGAGGAAATCTCAGCCAAGAGAGAGAAAAAGTGACTTGCCCAAGGCCTGAGAGCCAGGACTTGAACCCAGGTCTTGCCCCAGGCTCCAGAGTCTGCTCATCCATTTCTCTGCTCTGCCGACTAAGTCACACTTCACAATCATGGCTGTCTCGGGCTGCCTGGGGCTCCTAACAGCTTTCAATGATTTGTTTCATGGATTTCACTAAACAAACGTTACTGGATTCAACAGAGCAAATATCCTCCTGTAATCAATCTTGTTACTTCAGATCTTTTCCTGGAGGTAGTGGCCAAGTTTCGGAGGACACGTTGGACCGAGGAGTCATTCTATAATGAGGGACATCTGGTATTCTCAGGTGTTCTACGGCACCCCTTAGCTTGGCTCAAACTCAGATCATTACCCTTCGAGATTTTTGTCTAGTCCAGGGCTCGGCAAATCCTGCCGGCTGCTGGGTTTGTAGATAAAGTTATTGCTGAGACACAGATGTGCCCATTGGTCTACGTAGAGTCTGTGGCTGCTTTGGAGCAGAGCTGGGTAATTTCAACAGAAATCGTATGGCCCATGAAGCCCAAAATATTTACTATTGGACCATTGACAGAAAAAGTTTGCCAACCCCTCCTACCGTTTGCAAGCACATCGTGGCCAAAATAAGTAAGTAAATAAATAAGCCGTGCTTGAACTTCACCGGCAATGGGAGCAGGCTCTGCGGAGGAACCCAGCCCTTACTGGTTTGCAGGTGGACGCCAGGGCCTTCTGCACGGTGGGAAGTGTGATTTGAACGAGTGCCTCTTGAAATATCCTCTTCCGGATGGTGCTGCTGTCATAATCATATTGCTGTCGATACACAGAGAGAAACATATGCTAAACAGCAACACTGCAATCTGTTAACGTTCCCTTCAGCCAAAACCTCAGCCACCCACTTCATCGCCTTCTCCCCTCCCCCTAATTTCTAAGGACCCCTGTGGCCTTTCCAAGGTCTCAGAGACCTTTCTACGCAATTCTCTCACACTCCAGGTGGAGGTCATGACCCATCTTACCCTCCCCTCTTACAGATTTGGAAACTGAGGCAAGATCAAAGCAGCAACTCCTGCCGTATAAAGAAGTTGGGGAGAGAACCGGGGGGGGTGAATTTATGCTTTGTCACCCCTATCCTGGGTGGGTCCTTGGGAATGATGGTCATCTACTTCTTTCATTCTACATCCTAAAAGCAGGATTTGTGGGTTGCAGTGGTTTCCACAAGGGAAGAGAGAGTCTGGCTCATAGCTACATTAACACCGCGGCATGTTAACCAAAGAAGTTTAGTATCTAAAACAAGAAAGGTGATGATTCACTTTGTACAGCATGGGTCATCCAAACCGAGAGGCCAGAGTTTGGTTTTAGATGTCACTTTAAGGGAATAATAGACAAACTGGAGCATAGACACAGGCATGTGAGCAGAATGGTCAGGCTAAAGAAGGAATGGTGAAGGACAGGGGTCCTCAAACTTTTCAAACAGGGGGCCAGTTCACTGTCCCTCAGACCGTTGGAGGGCCAGACTATAGTTTAAAAAAAAACTATGAACAAATGCCTATGCACACTGCACATATCTTATTTTGAAGTAAAAAAACAAAACGGGAACAAATACAGTATTTGTATTTGCATGTGGCCCACGGGCCGTAGTTTGAGGACCCCTGGTGAAGGAGATGAAGACATTTATACCGGAGGTAGTGACTTGAGGCTAAATTACAGCTCTGTTCAAACAAGGAAAGGCTGCCAGGTGGAAGAAGGAACTTAACAAAGAGGGTAGAACTAAGTGGATGGCCGCTGAGAACGTTGGCTTTATATCCGGAAGCATGTTCTTGCCCTTAAGCGTGTCCAGAGAAGAAAGGGACTGTTCGGAGAGGTAGAAAGTGTCCTGATACTGGAGGTGATACTGACATTGATATCTTTTCTTCCTCAACTTCAAGTTCATTATTATTTGTGTTCCCGTGATAAATATTGCTTTTAATTTCAATAATTTGGTTGCCAGAGTCTTCTCCTACTGCCTGTGACACCTCAACATCAGGTCTGAAATTCAGGGACCCCTCCCAGACTCTGAGGAACTTTGATCTGCTGCTCCAAGCACTGTTTAGGGCAACAATTTCAACTTTTTTCATCTCGTGGCACACATAAACGACTAAAATTCTGTGGCACGTCAATAAAAATATTTTTGCTGATCTGAAAATAGATATAACTGATTAATTCACGCTGGATGGCTATTGTTGTGTTGGTTGTTGTCATTTTTTTATTTGACAATTTAAGGGAAAAGAGGTCAGTGCCCCTGATTAAATAGTCAGGTATTGCATGTTTGAAAAATTCTTATGGCTCACCTGTTGAAAATCACTGGTGTAGGGCAAGGAGGAAGTAAAAAATTAATGCGTTAGTTTTATAGGATGTTTTAAGCTCTAGGGTCACCATTGACTAGCCTGTTGAGCTTAAGTAAGTCACGTTAGCTCTTAGAGAGTCAGTTTCCTCATCTCTACAATGGGAACACATTCTAATTATCTCACAAGTTCTAGTGAAGATCAAATGAAACATGGTAGGTTTAAGCAAGCTTTAAAAATACAGCACATATATGTAAACTATTATTACAACTATTTTGACACATACTTAAACATTAAACACATTAAAAATGGAACAATTTAATGTGCCAACCTCTCTCTCTCTCTCTCTCTCTCTCTCTCTCTCTCTCTCTCTGGCAGGTATCTTTTTCTTGGAGTGTATTTTCTTTGCCATGAGGTGCCGATTTTTCTAAAATATGCTGCCTAATTTAAATGGAAACTATTTGAAGAAATAGGCGGTGCCTTGCCTATATTTATATTCCATGCAATACCCATCACAATGGTTTGCTTATAGTGGACAGCCAATAAATATCAAATCCAATTGCTTTAAAAGTAAACTAGGACATGTCTCTCCAGCTGATGGGCAATGGTGAGGGCCTGTGATCTCTAAAATAGCCACTAGATGGCAGGAGAGGCATGAACGTCATGCTGGGGGAGCAGCTGGTACCTAATAGTCCCTGGAACCCCAGGAAGGAAAGATGTGAAAGATGAGAAAGAAAAGGGGGCGAGTAAAAGAACTTGGTATTTTCCAGTTAAAGAGAACCAGGGGCCACAGTCTTGCTTTACGCTTCCCACATGAGAAAGGGGTTTTACCTTTAAGACTCGGAGCTTCACCTTCTCAATGGCGATGGCTGTTTTAGAGGCCTCTCCTTGGAGATGTGGGGCAAGCAATTGTTCAAAAGTGAACACTGCGTTCTCCATGAGCTAGAAACCAAGGCAACACAGAAACAGCACGGTCAGAGGCAGGGGCACCACCACAGGTCCGCCCACGCCAGCTGGGGAGAAGGAAGGGGGTGACCACCTCTTATTTTACAGATTTCCCAGGGGTGAGTCCTCACCCCACCGTCTGAACTGTGAAGTAAATAGGCACATGGCCACAGTGGGATCAGTAAGAGACCGGGAAACACACACACACACACACACACACACACACACACACACACTTGCGTGTAGCTATATACATGTATGCATCCTTTCTTCTCATCTCTTTCTATCCTGAACTGGAAACCCCAAGACGATGTAGGATTAAAATTACTTTCATCTCCGGTGGTCACCCCCTTCTTCTAATCTCTGATACCTGCCGCCAGGGCTTACCAAGATGAGGTGGGAGTCACCTCCAATTATTTTTGGCTGCTTTAACTCTACACGTGCACGTTCAGGTGGATGTAAGCTACCCAGCATCTCTCTCTCCACCTCCCCTCCATCTCCTCACACCTCCGCCAGGATGGGAAGGGAGGCAGGGTGAGGGCTCGAGGCAGACAGTGGCTGGCACGGTTACGGGTTAGGGAAACAGAAGCAGCTCAGATTTCGTATTCTCTGCCCTCGTGCCCCTGTAAGCTCCACCGGGTTCAGTGTTATCACAGGGACTCTATCAAACGATCGCCCAATTTTGTTCCTTGTCCATTTTTAATCCCTCACAACTCAGAGGTTAGGTAATAAGATGTGTCACTTAATCCTGCCTATATTTTTAAGGAAAAAAAAATAATAAAAAGCCCCTTTTCTTTTCCAAGCCTGTCATTCCCGTGGCATTCAACACATATCTTTCTCAGCGCATTCTCAACATGGGAGTGAATTTATCTAAGACTCTGTCTCCCTATCAGTTCCCTAAAGTGGGATCTGGCACAGTGTTCAGCCCCATAAGCTGCCCTGGAAAATCTGGAAAGCAGAAGTGTGCTCTTACGGCTTCAATGAGCACACCCTCTCCTCACTGATGAATCACTAAACTATGGAAAGAGTCTGT